AAGGCAAAACCATCAACACCACAGTAGCTATATAGTATTAGTATCTTTGCAGAAGGAAGCCGAAGGAAGCAATGAGCCATCTGATAGATTTAATAGCACACCATAAAATATCAACAACCTTCAGAGCAGAAGTGAAAAGTGGAAGGGATTTCCCACTAAAATGTCAATTTTTCCTATTAGGATGATAGGAATGCTCAAAACCCAGACATCCCCACTATATAATTCATCCATGTAACCAAAACCACTTGCATCCCTAAATCTATCAAAATATAAAAGATACATAAGGGCTGGGCATGGTGGCTTACACCTGTAACCTAGCACTCTGGGAGGCCAAGGTGAGTGGATTGCTTGAGCTTGGGAGTTAGAGACCAAACTGAGCCAGTGAGATCCCATCTCTAAAAACAGCAGGGCACTGTGGCAGGCACCTGTAGTCCCAGCTATGGGGGAGGCTGAGGCAAGAGGATCTTTTGAGCCCAAGAGTTTGAGGTTGCTATGAGCTATGATGCCATGGTACTCTACTGAGGATGACAGAAAAACAAACAAACAAAAAAAGCCTTCTTAAGGAAATAGATAACAAGTCTGAAACAAAAGATGTAGAATCTGAATATTGTGTTAAATCAAAATAACTCAGTGTGACCAACTGGAAGATAGAACAATAGACTCTCAATAAAGTTAACAATTGTGATGGATTGAAATTCACCAAATAAACTCTTTAAATCTAAGAGTTCATAATAATATGAAATAACACTTTTAAAAACCAAATTAGTCACTTTCAGAGGTTGATAGGAAACCAGGTAATTATCTTGGAAAAACAGTTGATAAAGGAGCTAGGTCAAGCATTTATTTTTCTAGTTCTGTATGAATTGTACCCTACATAAACTAAACCATTACGGTAACCAAAATTATACTAATTGAATATTTTAGCCAACAAGTCAAAGAGAAATGACAGAACTCAAATAGTCACCATTTTGTAAGCCCCAGTGATTTAAGGAATCTAAGCATTAAGCATCCAGAGCTGCTAATTCCACAGTACAAGAGACCATCAGACATCCTGTGCTTCTTCATGAAAAGAACACATCCTGCCATTTCCAGTGTTACCAAACACATCAAACCCAGTCTGATCCAGTCTCTGGATACAATTGCTAACTTGCAGAAATAAGATGAAGCTTTCAACTGCACGGTGCAGATGTACTCAACAAAACTCAAACTGTAGGAAACTCTACAAATCAAACAGTCTGGTTTATTCAATAAATAAAATTTTAAGGGAAAAAATAGGGATAGGGTAGAGGATACTTTGGAATAAAAGAACCTTGGAAGCCACATTAACATAACAAGGGTTGGCAAGGAAACTGGAATCCTCGCACAATGCTGGGGGGGGGGATGTAAAATGGTACAGCTGCTGTGGGCTGGAGTTTGTTACAGTATCCATCTGTAGAATTGTGTGTTATTCTCCAAGACAACTCAGGCTCTTCTATATTTTCTGAACATACCATGTTTCCCTGAAAATAAGACCTATCCCCAAAATAAGCACTAGCAGGATTTCTATGCATTTGTTAAATATAAGCCCTACTCCGATAATAAGACCTAGTGATGGGCATGGCTATGCAGCATATCTGCATAGCCACGCCATGCATTTTGGCATGGTAAAGAAGACTGGAATACCTTTTATTTCCCACAGCACCTTTCTCTGAGCCATTCACACTTGCATGGATACAAGTGTGGTAACTGCAGTCGCAGGCATCCTATTGCACACGTGCAAATGGCTAGGGGAAAGGAGTGCACGCATCACTAGCACCAGCCCCACCACCAAGGTCAGGTTCCAGAAGAAGATGACTTAACTGTATTTGAATAAATGTAGATTGTGGTATTATACTTAATAAAAATAAGACATCCCCTGAAAATAAGCCCTAGTGTGTCTTCTTGAGAGAAAATAAATATAAGACAGTATCTTATTTTCAGGGAAACATGGTATTTGTTGAAATATCTATTTCAAACCAGTTTTGACATCCAGGAAGATGCACCATAAGATGTATTTAGGGTTGGAAATTCAGAGTAGATACAGCATTAGTTAGGATAAGAAGCCAAAGACGTTGAACCTATGTCTGAGCACAGGATTTAGCATACGTAGGAAAGGAATAAGCCTGAGAACAGCCAGATGCACTTGGGGAAAACTGTAGATGTCAAGGGAATAGAAAGAGGACTTTGAAGGGAAAATCAAGGAGAAGAGAAATGAAATTGCTAAAAGAACAAAGGACAGAATGAGGGCAAGAAAAGAGGTTGGTGTTAGGAAATTGAAGAGTTTCAAGATTTTGAAGTGGAAGGAGAAAAGCAATATTGGATTTAATACAAACAACTGAACTGAGTTCAAAGAGCTTGAGGCTAGGTGCTGGATGATGGGCATTTTACAGGACTTGGAAGTTGTCATGCAGAACACGAGCTATGTACCTACATTGTCAAGTGAGGCTTTATGATCACAGCAAGGAGACCAGAAGATGTAAACTCACTTGATATGGTCCCTCCCTTTTGTATTGTGAGATGCTAGCATGATACTCCAAAAAAATGTTTAGGTGGGGACCATTCAATTAAGATGCTGGCTAGAAAATAGCCACAAACCTATGTTGTATTCTGGCAAAACGTCACAGGTAAATATCAGTTGGTTGGCATCTAAAGTACATCCAGGGCTTCCTTATTGAGCACCAAAGACTCTGGAACAAGTGTGCAGAGTCTTTAGGTAAAGACTTTGCGGGGTGGGGGGGAGTAAAGACCAAAACCAGAAGTTTAATGACCAAATCAGTCATTGCTGACATTCGAAAGTTCTTATATACCTTTTCATATACTAAAATCAGTGAAAGAATGGAAAAAAAAAACAAACTTAAGTTAGCAATCTACTTTTATGCTTTATATTTCATAAGATAAAAATTATCCTAATCTGTTTAAATCCAATTTTCTTCTTTTCTCTACTCTACAAAGCCAAAATAATTCTACCACTGAGTCATCCCTGCCTACAAAGTGATCACACAACTAGGCTGTTCCTGTGCATAAGCTGCAGGTATTAAATGGCACCTGAAGAACCAAAATGCTTCCTCAAGTGTTAATACCACATTGGACACATCACAGAACTGAGGCTGTATAACCTCACAGATTAAAGATATCATTGAGGATATTTATGAGACAAAATCAAATTTTAAAAAGTTTAAAGAGGGAGGTTGTAAAAATTACCTTAAGCTTTACAGAAAAGCAAAATGAAAGACCTTGGCCATTCATGGATTTGCTAGCACATTGCTTGAATGTTCCCTGTTGTCTACTCTTTTTGGAACTTAATCTCTAAAACGAGGATGTTAATTCGCTATCAACTTTAAGATGATTTATTTACAAGGGACCTGGAACATATTCACCTGAGTAAAGTATCTCAAGAATGGAGGGAAAAGTATCCAATGTACTCAGTACTTCTATGAAACCTACTTATATTTACTCACACCTTGTTATGAAAGATAGAACACAACTGTAGCCCAGGATCAAGGAGAGAAATGGAGTGGGAAGGGAGGGGGAAGGGGCAGGTTTGACAGAGGGAGAGAAAAAGGCAGGACCACACCTATGGAGCATATTGCAAGGGTACAAGTTAAAGCTGTCAAGTGTAGAACATAAATGTCTTAACATAATAAAGTAAATGAGGTGAAAGCTACATTGATAGGTTTGATGTAACCACGTCAGATTGTATAAAAAAAATCAACACATTGTACTCCATATATGCATAAATGTATTCATGATCTATGTGTATTTGACTTAATAAAAATAAATAAATAAAAATAAAAGCCTAAGGGGGAAAAAAGGATGATTTGTTTACAATTTATTATCAGTAAGAATACATTACACTTTTTATATAACCTTAAATAGTAACATGAACATGTTCATATTTATTTAAAATATAATTTTTAAAATATCTAGCTACATAATCATTTTTATTTTTTAAACAAACTTAAATCAGCTTTGAATCCTTAATTTCTTAGTTTTAAGCCAAAGATATCACCGGCAGTAGAAGCTGAAAACATTTTTGTACATAGAACTTGGACTGAAAACGCTAATCAACTATTCAGAACTCACTTTTGGGTGCATTCTTCCTATTAGGTAAATAAAGACAGCTTTCTCTGCTCTGAACTGCTGCCTCCCTTCGCCAGAACATAGAAATTGTTTTGTTTCCCTTGCCTCCAGTGGAAAACAAATCTGGAGTTTTGGTGAAAAGGCCATTGTTCCTAGTTGGAGGAGAAAATGAAAATAAAGCAGGGTTATTTTCCTGTCGGTCATAAGTCCATCATAAAACTCTTGCTGGGTCGGTGATTTAGTCATCTTTGTAGGACTCACAGCATCTGCCAAAGCACTTTCCAAGAACCAATTGCTCTATAAACGTTTGCTTGAGAAACCGTGAATAAAGGTGACATAACAACATAATGTGGACGGACTTCAGGAGGATAAAGTGCCAGACCAACAATTTGGATGCTTATTCCCCTAACCCAGTCTCGGACTTTTCCCGCCTGATTCACAGGCAGGGTGGCCCACGGGTCTTTAACCCGGCCAGGGCAACCTCTCCCTCCCGCTCTACTACCTCTGCTTTTCCTTTCAAACTTCATCCCAGCCTGCAGGCCTGGGGCACACCCAGAGACCCCCGGCCTCTGAATCCCCTTGCCTCCGGAAAACTCAGCAAACACCACAGGTTGCAAAGGGCGAGGAGGCCGGGAGCGCCTCAGTAACGCGCATGCCCCCTGACTCCACCGAGTCAGGCTGCAGTTTCCAAGCGCCGAAATCCATTTCTCCACATTTTGGAGGTGACCTGAAGGCAGTACAAAAATATTAGCATCTTGGCCGTGGAAGGGAGTGGGACGGAAGCTGAGAGCCGAAGGGGGAGGCTGTTCACAAAACCCGGAAAAAAAATCCTACCCAATCCACTCCGCGTACAGATGCGCGTCGCTGCTCATGCGCAGTAGCCTTCCGCGGCGGCTGCGGCTGAAGCTGTATCCTGGGAGCCGGAAGGTTCGGTCGCTGTGGGCTGGCGGTTCGGCGGCTCCCGGGTCATGTCGGCCCAGGGGGACTGCGAGTTCCTGGTGCAGCGAGCCCGAGAGCTGGTGCCCCAGGACCTGTGGGCAGCCAAAGCATGGCTGATCACGGCCCGCAGCCTCTACCCGGCTGACTTTAACATCCAGGTGAGTTCAGGGCCGTGCACGCGCCGCCCTGCGTGGAGGGGTGCGCACCTCTCTGCGCCCCGTTGCCCAGACCCGGAGCCAAGTCCGCCTGGGACCGGCCACCTGCTGCCCGGCCCGCCCCTCTCTTCGCGTTTCTCTCGCCCCGTACCCGCCTACTGTTCTCCTCCACCTTTCATAAGCCTTATCCCTCAGCACCTTAAGGGGCAGTGGACCCCACTTAAGGTTGGTCGGATCTGCTGGGGTCAGGGAGGGGTGTGTTGTGCGCTCTGGCGTTGGCGGCACAAATCGCCGCTATGGAAAAGGCCAGTTTCCCATTCATCATGATGGCAGCCATTTATTCAGCGCCTGTTACTTTTGAGACATCATCTCACTTCATCCTGGGAGTCCAGCGGTTTCAGTGAGCCTGAGGGTCACACCCCAGGCCCTGTTGCAAGGCCATGTATGTGGCTCTCTGCTACCAGATGATGCTTTGCCCTCAGGCCCTCCATTCCCACGGGGAGGGTACTTATCCCAGGAGCTTAGTGACCTGTGGGTCCCATCTGTTTTGCAGTATGAGATGTACACTATTGAGCGCAATGCCGAACGGACCGCCACCGCCGGGAGACTGCTGTACGATATGTGAGTGACGATTTGTTAGAACTTTTCCTGCACTGGGTCTCTCGGTGAGGTTTTGCTTCTGTCTGTGCCAGTGAGGTTGGGGGAAGATCTTCAAGTTGGTCTGCCTCTCTGGTACCCAAAACTTAGATAGTAATGAGTCCAGGCCTTCTGTTAATTTCTGACATGCCTTCTTCAGCCTTCTTATTTTTTATTCTTCTTAAAATGCCTTTCTCACAATTATTTTAGAAATAATATATGCTCATTGCAAAAAAGTTCCAATAATACTTACATGATAGAGAATAAAAACTAAAAGTGCTTCCAAAACTCAACCAGGATTAAGTTTGGGGTGCAGTATATCCTACAAATACACATAATACATATGAATAAGTTTTGGGGGAAAAGAAGTTACCGAAGTGAGATCACACTATTATTCTGCACCCACTATATTAGCTTCTTCACCCACTGTACTGGACCTCGTCCCATGTCAGTATGTAGAGATCTAGTTCATTCTTTTCCAGGCCTATATGACATTTCATAACCACTCTTTCTTGGTAGACATTTAGATAGATCTCAGTTATTTGGAATTATGCTCATTGGATCAGTAAGCAATTTTGTACCCATGATTTGGTGTTTTTCTGTGGGATAAATGCCAACACAAGTATTTTCATAGTCAAAGGGTATGCACATTCTAAATTTTGAAACATTACAGAATTGCTCTCCAAAAAGCACTATCCCAATTTATGTTTCCATTTATGGTGTGTAAGAGGCCCAGCTTTCCCATACTCTTGCTAACACTGGATTTTATCAGTCTCTTCGTAATTTGTGCTACCAAGGTTGAGTTATCATTTCGCCTGTTCTTTTTACCTATTTCTATTCTGTGATTTGCCTTTGGCCATGTTTTTCTTTTGGATTGTCATATTTTTGATGTTTAGGAGTTCTTGGTATAGTATGGTTGCTTGTCTTTTCACTTCTAACAGCCTCTACAGACTTTTGTAAGTACTCTCAACTTTCTAAACTCTTTATATCTTTATAAAGATATCTATCTATATCTTTTTATCTTTATATCTTTGGTTTATTTTGGCAGAGCTAAGCATTCCCTTGGAATAAAGGAAAAAAATTTTTTTTTTGCCAAATGCTAACTTTCTTACTTTCTTTTTTGGATACTGTATGGAATCTGGCATTTTAATTTAATGCATTCATTTTAAAATAGGTTTGTGAATTTCCCAGACCAGCCGGTGGTGTGGAGAGAAATCAGCATTATTACATCAGCATTAAGAAACGATTCACAGGATAAACAAACCCAGTTTTTAAGAAGTAAGAGTGGAGTAATAACTTGATGGTATATAAATGACCCTTTCTGGAATATCAAAACATATGTAGTAATTTCACAAAACAATCACACCTGCGGTATTGGTTCCTGTATGAATGGTTTATTCTCAGCAACCAAAGTCTGGTACCTTGACTTGGTACCTTGAGTATCTGTTTAGGCCCCTTTAGACTTCTTTAAAAGATGTAAATTTATCAGTAAGACCAAACAGTTTAATATATTTTTAACAGGTTTTATAATAACTAGAAAATATCTATGGATCAAACAGATCTCTACAAGATAATCAAAGACTTCAAAGTCTTAGTAGAAAAGAAAGTGGATGATTTAGGTGATTTCAACTTAAACAAACGTGTGTTCTTCCTCTCACCTTGCAACAAGCATGCTTGTGACTGTCCCCATACATCATTCTTGTCTTCTGAATCCAATAAAGCCTCCAAATATTTTTATGATTATTCACCAAACATCTTATGCCAAATGCTGTCAGATCCAAAAGCCTGCTAGTTTGTAGGTGACCACAGTGATTGTTTATGTCAAATCTTTATGTACACTGTTCTGTACGTGAAAATGCCTTACTGAACACGTTTGCGGCTGTATTTTCTTTCTGAAAGAAACTTTTAAAAGTGAAATGTGTTGTGTACAGGTTTATTTGAAACTCTTCCTGGTCGGGTCCAGTGTGAAATGCTACTGAAGGTCACGGAACAATGCTTCAACACATTGGAACGGTCAGAAATGTTGCTCCTGCTTTTGCGACGCTTCCCCGAAACAGTAGTACAGCATGGGGTAAGATTTTATTCTTTTCCTTTTTTAAGAGTTAAGAGCTATAGTGTGTATTATATCAAAGCGGAGATTCTGAGGACCACTAGGTAAGATTGAACTTAAACCAAGGATTCTTTGTCAGTAAAGCTGAACAGCCATCATTGTTACTAAACTTTATAAATTTCCAGGAGACGTTATCTTACCGGTGTAAGGAAATAGTCACCAGATTCTAACAGTACTATTTATTTGCAATAATAATCTTTTCCGTTGCATTCAACAATGCATTTTTTATTTTTTATTGTATTTTTTTTTTCTTAGAGACAGGATCCCCGCTCTGTCTCCCAGGCTAGAGTATAGTAGCCTGATCGTAGCTCATTGCAACTTCAAATTTTGGGCATCCAGCTGTCCACCTGTTCATCCTCCTGAATAGCTAGGATGCTACGCCACTTCTAGCTACTTTTTAAGTTTTTTATAAAGATGAGGTCTCATTATGTTGCCCAAGCTAGTCATGAACTCCCAGCCTCAAGAGATCATCCCACATCAGCCTCCAAAGTACTGGGATCTCAGACATGAGCCGTCATACCCAGCCCAACAATGTGTTCTTGAATTAAAAGGAGAACCATAATTTATAGTTGTAACTGATACATTCGTCATGGGTTTCTTCCCTCTGTTCTTGCCACTTCCCTCCATCTGTAATAATTATTGAGTGCTATTGGCAGGCTTTAGTAAGTATCAGGTATCTCCTCCTCTCTCTTCCTAAGTCCATTAAGGTAAATAGTGTCTGTCCTTACAGATGAGAAAACTGAGTCTAAAATGTTTTAGTAACTTCCTGTAGCCAGTATGTAATCAGAGTTCAAAGCATTCATTTCTGTTCATTCAAACTCTGTGGCTTTCTCTTTCCCATGCCATTTTTCTGGCTTCTGACCCTGGTTTACCTTTTCCGTGTTACCTTGTATTAGTTTCTTAGGCTTACAGTAACAAAGCACTAGAAACTGGGTGGCTTAAAACAACAGACACCCTCTCACAATTCTGGAAGCTGGAAGTCCACAAGCAAGTTGTCACCAGGGCCACGTGCCTCTCAAGGGAGGACGCTGCCCTCTGCCTACCTTCCGGAGGCTGACAGCTGTCCTCATTGTTCTTTGGCCAGCAGCTACATCTCTCCAGTTTCTGCCTCCATTGTCACATGATCTCCTTCCCTTTGTGTCCATGCCATTACATGGCAGTCACGAGCTTTAGGATCCACCCTAATCCAGTATGACCTCATCTTCACTAGTGGCATCTGCAAAGCCTCTATTTCTTTTTAAAGGTAAAATATAGCTGAGCTTATGTTCTGAGGTTCTGGGTGGACATAAACTTGGGGAGACGTTCTTCAACCCAGTACACTCCCTGATGGTTACTATGACTTTTACCTTCCTGTGTTATGTACCTGGTCGTCTTTCATACTGTTTCACCCCTGCCATAGAGCGTCCCTGTGTGGCCGCTAAGAAGATAACACGTCTGCAAACATGGTAGCATATCTTGGTAAGGGGCTTTCTGCTATGCTAGGGCACATCAGTAGTGGAAAAGTGGCCTTGAAACTGAGACAGTTTGTTTGGTCCAGCTCAGACTGCATGATACACTATCCCTAAGAACTTATAGAATGATAAAGTTAGTTTCCACTTTGCTTAGAAAAATCTCTGCATCTGTATTACTGTTCTGTGCCCTTAAGTTTCTGTACCAGAGGTGTCCAAACTTTATTCTTTGCTGCACAATAGAATAAGAAGAGTTGTCTGGGGCTACACATTGAATACACAAACAATAACAAACGCCTATGAGCTAAAAAAAAAAAAAAAAAAAGGTCTATGCATAGTTTTCACGACATCTCACACCATGGGTAAGTGGAAAAGCCCTCACATAATCCACAAGTGCCTCCCCAACTCCCCAACTGTAGACAATTTGTTAGCATTTTCATTTCACTAATTCCAAGGAGACAGAGGGCTGAGGTGAATCTAGCCTTCTTAGCTGTGTGGCTCGTGCATTCTTTTGTTTTTTAATCTTTAAAGTGTGATTCTGTATTTCTCAGGAAAGTTTGAATGCATTATACAAACTCTGTGATAAGTAAAAAAAATAAAAATAAAAACCCAATTCTGACATCTTAAACTGTGGCATGTTTAAATGATTCATTTTATTTTGAAACAGGTTGGCCTGGGGGAAGCACTGTTAGAGGCTGAGACCATTGAAGAACAAGAATCTCCCGTGAACTGCTTTAGAAAATTATTTGGTAAGAACAATCATATTCAGTTTTATTTCCTTTTAGTACATAGCATATGCCGGAGTAAGTGTATTTTAAGGACAAGCTCATTTGTGTAAAGCAGAGGAGCTCTTCATATTATGGAATTTAAAGTCCTGCTTTTTTGACCTAGAAAGCATTTTAAGCAACTTCTAAACTTCTATTATACAGTATGTGATACCTTTGAGAGTATATATGTTAAGTATGAAGCACAATAATAAACATCTGAACCCCCACCCAGTGTAAGAGCTAGACCTCCACCCACAAGGTCAAGTCTGCTCATGTGTTTCTTTGTTGACTGTCCACAGTGCCTTTCTGCATGGCAATTTGAAAACAAATGTACCATTAATGATTTCCCTCCCCTCTGCATGCTTTAGAAATTACATTAAGTGAACTTTAAAATAAGTTTTGTTTTTGCCAGAACTCTAGGGTAGACAGCCTAACCAGTTCTGTCTTCTTTTTCCCTTTCTACAGTTTGTGATGTCCTTCCTCTGATAATTAACAACCATGATGTTCGATTGCCTGCCAATTTATTATATAAATATTTGAACAAAGCAGCTGAGTTTTATATCAACTATGTCACTAGGTCAACTCAGATAGAAAATCAGCATCAAGGTAGGTGGGAATCCACTGAACTTGTATTTAGGCAAGTCCACTGGGGTAGGGTCCATTAAGACCTATGTGTCTGACTGCGACCAACTGAAGAAATATACAGTTAGAAACAACGAAAAAGAGACAAGACACACAGAACAGATTTTCAAAGGTGGGAACCCAGGAGACTACTACCCACTTGTGGGGTTAGAGTTGCCCCTGAGTTCCACTTAGCTTTTATAAAGGCTATTTGCTCATTAGACCAAAGGGTAAGTGAGGAAGGGAACAAAGATGCTAGCAGTTTCTCTGAAGGAGCGGATCAGCTCCTATTGTTTCCATAAACTTTAACTTTAAGGGTCTAAACAATCTTGAGGAATCCAGAACCTGAGCCTTATGTGGGGGCAGCCTCCTGTCTGAGGTCACGCACACAGATTCCTAGGGGGCTGTAAATCCCCGCTAGTTCTCTACAGAGTAAAACGCTACTGGCGTCAATCTCTGAAGAATCCATGGGAGAGGAATTTCCCTCTCATCACCACCATGGAGGATCTTCCTCTGAGATAAGGGATATGAACCCTCCTACCCATATTTCAGGGCTCCAGCTGTTCCCTTGTTCTCTGCCTCAGCCAAATACAAATCTCCACAATGGGTATTTGCTTTGTCTGTTTACTGAGCAGGAAATGGCCTAGTTAATGTATCTTTCCAGGCCTTGCCGCAGCATCTTCTGTGGCCATTATACCTTAGAGTGTTCACAGACCCAACAGGGGTGTTAGTAAGCTCTATCCCTAATACGTTCTATGAAAAGCAGGAAACTTGCTCAGATAAGAAATTTAGCAGTGGCTGGTTTAAAGGTAAACTGGCTGGCTTCCCTTTGTTCTGACTCACTCAGCTTACTTTTTAATTTTTCCCTTTTTCTGGGGGTGTTTTCCATTGCCAAGAGTGGGATCTTCAGTCCCCATTCTGCCTGCAGACAAACGTTAATAATATTGTAAATTCAGAAATTTCTCAGCATTCTGATCATTCTCCTTAGGATGCTTTCTAGTTTGATAGTGTTAAAAGATCGTACCTAGGAAAAAAATCCTACAGGTAAGAGATGAGACTTTTCTGGAACCAGAGCCACCTCTTGATCAGAACAGTCTTTCTGCTGGCCTGTAGCTTCAGAGCGTTAAACTTAAACAGGTGCCACAGCAAGTAGGGAAAGTCACTTCCTACTTATACCAGTGGCCAATTGTGGGTCTTGAGCCAAACGTGCAATGTGCTGAGATTCTGTACTTTTCTCTTTTGAATGGAGAATTAGTACCTTATTAATAGTGACTAGTAACGTTAATTGTAGGCTACTTTTTTCCCCACTTCTCAGGTGCCCAAGATACGTCTGATTTAATGTCTCCTAGCAAACGTAACTCTCAGAAGTATATAATAGAAGGGCTGACGGAAAAATCGTCCCAGATTGTGGACCCTTGGGAGAGGTTGTTTAAGATTTTGAATGTTGTTGGAATGAGATGTGAATGGCAGATGGATAAAGGAAGACGGTAATAGTTTATTTCTAGAATTGCCTATCAAGTCTTTTGATTGCATAATTTAATCAAGTCAGTTTTTGATTGTTGTATCAAAGGGTTTTGAAATGCCTAGGTACACTTCCTTTTGGGTAAATTTTGTGGCATTTAATATTTATGCAAAAGAGGGTGATTTTTCGTTCTATCAATATATTCCTAACAAAAGTGTGAACTCTTAAGATAAGTCAAGTTTGAAGCTCTTCTTGGTAGTTCAGAGAAAAGAGAAGTTGCTTGGCACATCTGTATCATGATGTCTTGGTCTGATCGCTGCCCTAATTCAGAAGGGGAAATTTTTCACTTATATGTAGATAGTGTAGAATAATTTTACATGCTCACAGCTATATTTGGTAAATGTGCTGGGGTTTTTTTTAGACCTTTCACTGACAAGCCTGGAGTAATTGAATTAATTTTTATCATCTTTTATTCTTCAGAAGCTATGGTGATATGTTACATAGAATGAAGGATCTCTGCAGATACATGAACAACTTTGATAATGAAGCACATGCAAAATACAAAAACCAAGTCGTTTATTCCACCATGCTGGTCTTCTTTAAGAATGCATTCCAATATGTCAACAGCATACAGCCATCTCTTTTCCAAGGTTGGTTTACAGATTTTAGAGGGTCCCAAAATACTGGTTCAGTGGGGATAGAAAGGACAACGAAACGTTTAACAGCTATCGGTGGGTCCAATAGCTACTGGGTAATACCACTGTTTTTTTGTAGGTAGTGATTTAGTTTGATTTAGTTTGGCTTATTAGTTGGTAGGTTTTATATAACATGTTTCCCTGAAACTAAGACACTGTCTTCTATTTATTTTTTTCTCAAGAAGACACACTAGGGCTTATTTTCAGGGGATGTCTTCCTCTCTGCGCCGAAATGCATGGCACGGATATGCATAGCCATGCCCATCACTAGATCTTATTATCGGGGTAGGGCTTATATTTAACAAATGCATAGAAATCCTGCTAGGGCTTATTTTGGGGGTAGGTCTTCTTTTCAGGGAAACACGCTAACTACATTTGCATGAAAAATTCCTATTATCAAAGAATGTAGTAGTAATATGAAACTAAGTACATATATTGAATGTCTTTATTTTGTAAAAATAGCAGATGTACTAAAGTATATCACAATAAGCAAAGATGTCTTAAATTAAATATGTGTTTTATGTATAATACATGCATGTATAGTCTAGGAAGTTTGGAAAATAGAAGAGGGGGAAATCACCCATAATCCTTCCAATATAATACAGCTGTCGTTTTTATGAATTGCCTTATGGTCTTTGATGTATTTAGGCTTTGCTTGGAATTTGAAACCATAATGTGTAATTTTGTAGTCTCTTTATGGTAATCTTATGATTCATGGTCATTTAAAAAAATCTGCAGATACACAAGAACAAATACAAAAAAGGAGCTATCACTCATGTTCTGCTACTGAGAGAGAATCATTATTAACAATCTGGTGTGTATCTGTACAGTCTGTTTTTCTGTGTGCACTACTTGTTTTTTTACCTAATTGGAATCACACTGTACATGTTTTTAATGACCTTCATTTTGTCATGACAGTTGAGTGAACTTCCCTATCATAGTAAGTATTCTTTTCCTTCTTGCATTTTTTTAATGTTAATGTTTTTCTCCATCCCTAGGTCCTAATGCCCCAAGCCAAGTTCCACTGGTGCTCCTTGAAGATGTATCCAATGTTTATGGTGATGTAGAAATTGATCGTAATAAACACATACATAAAAAGAGGAAACTAGCCGAGGGAAGAGAGAAAACCATGGTAACCCTTTCAGATATAATTATTAACAGATTATGTGATTATGGTTTGCTAGAGACAAATCTTTGTATACTATGACTTTGGAAATAATTTATATAATATAATTACTGTGTAAGTCAGTGGCTCTCAACTGTAAACAATTTTGCATCCCAGGGGACATTTGGAGACATTTTTTTTATTTTCACAGCTTGATGGGGAAGGGTTGCTGTTAGCATCTAGTGGGTGGAGGACAGGAAAGCTTCCAAACATCCTATAGTCAGCACAACAGACCAGCAGGTCAATAGTGATAAGGTTGAGAAACCCTGGTACTATTTCCTTACATGTGATTTGACTGAATGATATTGATTAAATTTGAGAAATAAAATCAAAACTGCATTGGATATGTAGAGTGGGGAGCTGTGCTTGGTTTTTACCTCAGAATGGAAAGTGCTAAAGTGCTCAGGGTTCTGACCAACCCACAGGGAGACACTGAAAAGGTTTCAGGAAGGAATCCAGCATTTGAAATCAGCCTTGAGGGACATAAAGGGTTTTATTGGAATTGGAAGGTAGATTTTCTTGAGTGGAGATAGTCTGTGTAAAGACACAGGAGGCCAGAGAATGTGAAGAAGCATCAGTCTTCTAACTTGGCCAGGTAACAAGCCTATGCGGGGCAGTTATTTGCAAACCTTTATTTAAGCAGAGGAACCCGTTCTTTCAATACAATCTTTTTTAGGGGCCCAGTTCAGGAGTCAGCAAAGTTTTTCTCTAAATGGCTAAGGGATAAATATTTTGGGCTTTGCAGGCCATATGGTCTCTATTGCAGCTGCTCAGCTCTGCTGTTACGGCACACAAACATCCATAGACAGTATGAAAAACAAATGAGGGGCCTGTGTTTGAATAAAACTTTATCTGTAAAAACCGAGTTTGGCCTGTAAGACAGGGTTTACTAATCCCTGTCTAATTGAAATGCCCCCCGGTTTCATCCTGTCACTCAGTCTGTCCCCACCTGATGCAGGGCCAGCCAGGTCTATGTGTTCTGTCCCAGGAGAGGACACACCTGATGGCCCTGACCTCAGCTCACATATTCATCTTGCTTTGCTCATAAAGATTGTTGTTTTAATAATCTAGCATTTGAAAGTTAGAAACCTAACATTTCTCACAGTCCAGATGTCTAACTGCTCTTTTAGAATTGGAGTATTTGATAACACTGGGTACTGTGGTGGCCCACAACTAGAGCTAGGTGGTGGCTGCCCACATTAGGTAGGAGTAGTTTCTCCACCCAGCCTTCCTCACCAGCTCAGGTGACACGCCTGACAGCCAAAGCTGGGGAGTAGTCCCATCACGTGGGCTGTCTGTCCCAAACTGGCACACCAGCATGTGTGTTCCCTGCAGTTAGGACCGTGTTTCAGAGCATGCGTACTTGCAGATTTCAAAATCAGTTTCTCTAAATTTTATAAACGTTTGGAACATAGCACTATTCCCACCATCCCTGGGGTCCTTTCATAAATTCCTCATCTCATTTTGAGGCAGGCATATTTTCCGTAAGTTGCAACATACAGGAACACACTATTCACATTTGTGTCTGGTGTTAGATTAGCACCACGTGGCAAGGAATAGGCCCTGGATGAAATAATACCCACAGGTGGGCTTTGACTATGAAAGAGTGTCTGTCATTACTGAGGGAGAAGAAGAACATGGGAGCTGGACAGTGGGATGGGACAAAGTCTCCAAGCACAGGTTCTGGCAGAAGGATACCAAACTTGGGAAGCCAGGAGAATGATGAGCAGTGCCGGTAGATGCTAACAGTTTCCTCACCGGAGATGAGTTTGGGGGACAGAGCTTTTGGTGAAAACATTTGTACATATTTTTAAACGATCTTTGTGGAGTAAAGATCTGAAGGAAGAATTTAAGTTGAGTTATTGAATTAGTAAAATGATTTAGGTGGAATAAAAGATTCAAGAAATTCTTAGCAAAATAAAATTCAGTAGAGCCTTTTACCTTTCCTGGTAAAAGAAAAATATGTTTTGGCAAAATATCTTGACTATACCTAGCAGCATTTCCAGTAGCTGCCTTTCTCCATTGCCTGCTTTTCTTTGGCTTTATATTACTTGAGATGAAGAGCAAGGAGCTTAGAAATCTTGGTTGTAAAATATGGCAGGCATGGGCGGTGTCTATTGCTTAAAGGAGTAGGGCACCGGCTCCATATGCCACAGGTGACAGGTTCAAACCCAGCCCTGGCCAAAAACTGCAAAAAAAAAAATAAAATAAAATAAAATACAGAGGGCATTCCTGAATACATGTGGACAAATGTAATTCCTGCCTGGGCACCTTGCACTGGGGGAGCAGCCTGGCAAGACGGGATGGCCAGTGGAGAGGAGTCATGTGCAGTGAACAAAGATAAATAACAGTCATTCTTTGGCATCATTTCTTAGGGAACTCAAGCTTTAATTATTATTAAACGTTATTCTGTACATGACAAACTATTACTTAGAAGCAAATTAAGTAATGTCACCTATTGGGGGAAGAAAGTAACTTATAAAATAGATACCATTTAAGCCATTTAAGCTATATCTCTCAGTGTTAAAATCGAATTTTTGGCTCTTATAAAATTGATACATTTTAAAATTATTGGAAAAATTTAATTCTGTACCTTTGTTTTAAAGCCAGTAGAAGCTAAAAGGAAATAAACTCAATTTTAAAAGGAAGAATTGAATGTATGAGACTGCAAAGATCAAAAATTTATATTTCAAAGCTAACTTATTAAATTCAAAAATGTATTTATTAGTATCATCTGACATAAGATCCATGTCACAAGCAGAGTTGGCAACAATAAACACAATGATGTTTTGCGACATATGTGACCACATTTATATTGAATTTATCTTGTTCTTCACATTCTTCAAGCAGAGTTCCGATGACGAAGATAGTTCAGCAAAAGGAAGAAATCGTCACATTGTAATCAATAAAGCAGAACTCACTAACTCCATCGAAGTGTTAGAAAGCTTTAAATTGGCCAGGGAGAGCTGGGAGTTGCTCTATTCCCTGGAATTCCTTGACAAAGGTGAGAATGTGCTTGTCACGTTGATGCTGTTTAATGTTTTATATATAATCATTATGCAGCTTGAAATGCCGGGTCACTTACCTCAAATTAAATTGATTATAGCAGTCACCCATTTTATAGGATTCTTTTTCATCAGGCTACCTAATCAGTTATTAATATTCAAATCGCTAGCCACTTCTTAGCTCCTACTCTGAGAGTGTATAGTAATCGGGGTTGGGGTGGAGTTGGAGGGAGATTTGTTTTTTTATGTATTTGTACTGCTGGCCTTTTGTTTCTTGCTGGGTTTGTCTTGTGCTTGTAGTTCTTTTCTACTGCCTTGGGTCTTCCTCAAGCCACATGTGACTAAGAATACAGAAGGTATTGCTGGTTTTACTCTGCATTAACTCCATTGGCTGAAAAACTCAAAATCCAAAGACTGCATAAAGCCTGTTTCTTTGAATACAGACATAAAACTAGAGAAGGTTTTAGCTGCATAAGCTATTATGCATTGCCACATTACTTAGAAATCACTAGCTCTTTGCTAAGCAAAGTATTTTTACTACACTTTGGAATGAAGCCCTATTATTTTCCTTTTAGTCAGTGGACATCTGTCCCTTGGGCTCCTGTCCTAGAACCCTGGTTCACACTGTCATGCCATTGTCCTCCAAGTCAATGTAGCATTGTTCAGTTTCTCTTTGTTGAACCTAGAATTGTGATCGCTAGGGCAGCGCCTGTGGCTCAAAGGAGTAGGGTGCCAGCCCCTATGCTGGAGGTAGCAGGTTCAAACTCAGCCCCGGCCAAAAAAAAAAAAAAGATACTAGAATTGTGATCACTTACGTGACAATTCTGGAGGGGTTTTTTTCCTTTAAATAGAAATTGATTAAAAAAAAAGAAGAAAACATTTTAGTGTGATTGTATGTTTATTTGGACGCAAATAAAATGTGAGCTCTTTACTAAGGAAAGCAGAGTAGTTTAAAAGATAAATGAGGTAATATGTGAAAAGTACTCTACATAGTTCTTAGCACGTGGTAAGTACTAAGTAAGTGTTGGTGTCTAAAAAAATTTTGTGTATGACTGTTAAGTGTTATGCTCCAATTTCACTATCTAATTGAAATTCTAGAGCAGTATTTTGGAAATCAAAGTCTAAAGTTACGGTACCTTTTCTGGTAATTTATCTCCCTATCATTCTCCCTTGCTGGGTTTATTTTGTTTTGTGCTTCTCTGTTCCATGGTTTTCATACATTTGCTTTTGAATTCTCACTCAGAATTTACCAGAATTTGTTTGGCCTGGAAGACAGATACCTGGCTGTGGTTAAGAATCTTCCTCACAGACATGATCATCTATCAGGTAGAGTATTGCTGGGGGTGCAAGGGCCTGGGTCCGTGCAGGATGAGACTGTGGCAATAGGCCACTACGTGTTTACAAGCAATCTGTGTTCAGTGGCCGAGGGAGTGTGGTCCACTTCCACCTCCAAATAACTCCAAAATGATGGGGCCATGTTTTCTGTGTTACTTTTGGTATATGTAGTCAGACCCCTCTATAAAAGTAAGATTTTTACGCTTCCATTGTAAGATGAGTCCTGGTCACCCCTCCTCCCTCTCTTGGTTAAGTCCCGTCTTACTATGCTGTTCTCTAGCTACTGAGGCCTAGATTGGCCAGAGCAGATAATCCACTAATAGATGCTATTAAAAGGGACAGGTCGCTGCTTCCATCCCATAAGGTGGTATTAGTAGTAAAGTATTTCCTAAAAACATGACATGTCAAAAATGTTGTTTGCCAAGGGGCTTGTGTTATTTTATTTTGTCTTAATAGTTAAGACCAGGAAAAAAAAATTTGTAATATTAAAGTATCTGTGAAGAACTTCCATCTACTTTAAGTCAATTTGATTCTCTTGCCAAGTCTTCCTTTTCCTCCACAGATGATCAAGGCACCTTATTTATAGTTACCTTCTAGTTGCATGTGTTTTAACTCTGGAGGGTTTTTTTGTTTTGTTTTGTTTTTAAGCGGCAATTTTTTTCCTCCTTCCCATTCTCCTTTCTAAGGGTCAGTATAAAAAGGCGATAGCCAGCCTGCATCATTTAGCAGCTCTTCAGGGATCCCTTTCTCAGCCACAGATCACAGGACAGGGGACCTTGGAGCACCAGAGGGCACTCATCCAGCTGGCAACGTGCCACTTTGCCCTGGGGGAGTACCGAGTGAGTACTGTGCACCTGCTTGGATGGCAGGTGCATGAGGCCACCTGAGCTTTCTCTTTCCTATTGTGGTTTTTTTAATTCAGTGTATCTTTGCTTGAATTTGATATTTTTGCCTAGATACATTACTTAATCTGAGGGTAAAAAATTACAGTGATTTTGTTATACCACACTTTGCCATGTATTTTGCATACATTTTGCCCAAATTTTCGAGGGAAAAATAAGGATGTGTATTATACATGGGTACTTTTAAACTTCTAATTGCCTATCTATATAAATGTTTTTAGTTCTTTACTTATGCCAATGCATTAAAAGTATAATTCTAGAATGCAATAACAACATCCATATGCAAAATAATATCCAGGACTATGGTAATCAGTTTTATTAAATTTTACAACAAACTCAATGAAAACATTTTCAGCCAATGAAAAGTGACATATTTCTCTTTATATGCTTCAGGCCGGAGCTAGCAATCTAGCTGATACTTTTACAAAAATCACTGGAAAATTCTTTGGAAAATGTCAGAATGGTTTAGTGTAGCACAAGCTTTAAGCTTTGAATTTTAATTAAAAGATTAAAAGATTTTTCTCCTAAAAGTTTGGGCCAAGTATGTGGGTGTGCATTATCCATGGGAGCACATTATACACAGCAAATGCAGTATCTAGTTTTTTCTATATCTTTTCTGAAATTAATCTTCTGTACCTTTCAATATTCATTTTCCATTTATGTAGAGGATTTTTTTTCTTCTGTTACTCTCTGTCCTGGAATCCCTTTAAAGTGTAATCATTTCCATTGTGCTTGGAAAGCCAAGGCCTTTCCAAGGGGAGGCTGCCCCTTCATTTGCTGCCAGCTCCAAGCAGCCATACAAATACTATTTCCAGAGTGGGCCACAACATGCAGAAGGTTGGGATGGGTGGCTTCAAAGCTCCACTTCCTCCTGTGTAGAGTGGAGGTAATAAAAGGGGTTGTGCCTGACACGTAGAAAAGGTTCATTAAATGGAATCTGATCATTATATGAGAATTTGAAGAAACAGCTGAGCGGGGATGCCTCTCTCTGGATGAAGACCCCCCTGGGTGGTGTGGCTTCTCTCATCCCCCGGCACTGTGCCTGTCCAGGGTACTGTACCTGTCATCTACTTCCCAAAGCAAACCTGTCCCCTCAGGCAAATCCCCTAACCCTATATACAGCTTTGCCCCACGTCTTTCTCACCTACCTCCTGTCTTGTTTCTACATCCTAAATCTTTCCCCTCTTTAATGCATAGGTCAATATAAACTTCACCTGGAGCTTTTGCTAGGTTAGCGTGTGTGTGTGTGTTTCTATTGCATTTTTATTTGTTTATTTATATCTTTTTCAGAGACAGGGTCTCATTTTATTGCCCAGGCTAGAGTATAGTGGCACCATCACAGATTACCCCAACCTCAAACTCCTGAGTTCAAGCAGTCGTGCCTCATCCTCCCAAGTAGCTAGGACTACAGGCACACACCATCATGCCCTGCTAATTTTTTTTTTTTTTTTCTTAGAGATGATGTCTGAGTATGCTGCTCAGGCTGGTCTCGAACTCCTGGCGAGTTCAAGTTGGGAAGAACTCCAAGCAATCTTCCCACCTTGGCATCCCAATATGTTGGGATTACAAGTGTGAGCCACCACTCTGGGCTCCACTGCATTTCAAATTATACTTTATATCATCCCCTATAATTGTCTGCTACATGTCCTAATTTGTTAATTTTTCTATTCAGTGAATTAGTGAATGTCTTTAGGGCAAGGACATCCTGCTTTTAGATGCTGCTATGCTGTTAAATATTGTGGTAGTTTAATTAATACTTGATTAATTTTTGGCTTTAGCAACAATAAATGGGTTCTTATTCCCTCAGAGGTCTAGTACTTTCAGCCAGCAAGCATTGCCACTGCAGAAGTACATCGATTTAATCCTACTGTTGCTTCTTCTGTATTCCCTACCAAGCAGACAGTAGTGATTGTATTAAGAGAGCATAGTCCTGGGGGCACAGCAACAGACCTTCATGTATATATGGTGCCTGATTGTATGCTGCACATATTTTTGTGTTTTATTTGGTTTCAGTTCAAAAAGCTTCAAGTTACTTCCTTTTGGTCTTTCCTTTAGCTGACATGTGAAAAAGTCCTTGACTTGATGTGCTACATGGTACTTCCCATTCAAGACGGAGGCAAAGCACAGGAGGAACCCTCAAAAATAAAACCCAAATTTAGAAAAGGTACAGTGATGGGTTTTATTACTATTTTGTAAAAATAGTTTTAGAACGCAAGGCTGCAAAAGGTTTTCTGGCTCCCAGTGAGATAATACTGTTGTGATGTGTTGGACTTGACCAATTGTATAAGAAAGTTAATCTCCAGGTTTCTCCGTGGCTCTGATTTCATAAGCAGCTGTAAATGTCTTTGTTCCAGAACTCTCCTCCCTTCTTGAGTTTGTTCTCCTTGAAGAATGTCACTGAACTCCTTTTCATATCTTTCAGTTCTAAGAAAACTTATAGATAATCAATTAAGCAGTAGCACTTAGCATATCCCTTCTGGACCATTTTGAGCTTCCCCTCAAGTCTCATATTGCCTGAAGAATTAAATTCGGAACTTATCTAAGTTTACACCTTACAAATTAATAGAAGATGAGTAAATTAAACCTGAAGAAAGTAGAAAACAGGAAATAATAATGCTGGGAGCAGAAATCAATGAAATAGAAAATAAAATAGAGAATATTAATAAAGCCAGCAGGTTTTGGAAAAAATTTATAAAACTGATAAACCCCCTAAAGAGACTGATCAAGAAGGTGAATGCAAATTACCAGTGTCAGGAATGAAAATGGGAAGGTCACTGTATATCCTACTGAAATCAAAAGGATAATAGGGGACGGTGTTATGGATAACTTTATACCAATAAATTCAGAACTTCAGAACTTAAATGAAATGGAAAAGTTCTTTGAAAAACACAACTTACCAAAATTGACACAAAAATGAAATAGAGGGCAGTGCCTGTAGCTCAAAGGAGTAGGGCGCTGGCCCCATATGCCAGAGGTGGTAGGTTCAAACCTAGCCCTGGCCAAAAAAAAAAAAGAATAGAAACTCTGAGTGTTCTTTTAGATATCAAAGAAATTAAATTTGTTACCAAAAACCTTCCCACAAATTAAACTCCAGGTCCACATAACTTCACTGGTGAATTCTACCAGGAATTTAGGAAGAGGTAGGACCATAAACTTAATAGCAAAACTAAAGAAGCATTACAAGAAAAGAATTTCAAAGGCCAGAACATCCATTCTGAACATAGATATTAAATCCGTAGTAAGATATTAGCGAATTTAATACAGCAATATAGAAGACCAATTATACCAGGAATGCAGAGGTGTTTGAAAATAAGAAAGCCAGTGGACTTTACCATGTGAACAGATTAAAGAAGGAAAATCATGATTATCTTAATACTGTGGTCCCATTCCCCCAACCCTGGGCTAAGGACTGGTCCTGGTCTGTGGCCTGTTATGGCTGCACAGCAGGAGGTGAGTGGGAGTGAGTGAGCAAAGAGTCATCTGTTTTTACAGCCACTCCTCATCACCCACATCACCACCTGAGCTCTGCATTCTATCAGGTCAGGGGTGGTGTTAGATTCTAGTAGGAGCACGAACCCCACTGTAAATTGTGCATCTGAGGGATCTAGGTTGCACACTCCTGATGAGAGTCTAATGTGCCACCCCCACTCCACCATGGAAAAGTTGTCTTCCATGAAACTGGTCCCAGGTGCCAGAAAAGTTGGTGACCACCATCTTAATACAGGCAGACAGAGTTCAATACCTATCCATGATTTTTTAAGTCTTAGACATAGAAGCAAACTTTGTGAGCATCATACCTATGAAATATTGAATGCTTTTCCCCCACTAAGATCATGATGTGTGTTCTTGGCAATTCTATTGCAACATACTGGAAATTCTAGCCAATATAGTAGACAAAAAAAGTGATTAATGTATAAAAGCTCAATTCAATTCCTATATGGTAGTGGTAGATTTTGATATTAATATGCATTGACATTAACGTGACATTGTGACTTGTGTTAGGTTCGGATCTGAAGCTCCTGCCTTGTACCAGCAAGGCTATCATGCCATATTGCCTGCATTTAATGTTAGCCTGTTTTAAGGTAAGCTTATAGTTGATTAGCCCAAAAACATATTTAATTTGAAATATGATTCTGATGACCTGAAATGACTTGAGATCCTTGTAAAGATTGTTAGTTTAATACTCCTAAACTAGTTTGTCCTCCTAGGAAAGGCACGTTGGGTAGGAATTAACAAATGTTTATTAGATGATGACTTCACCAGGCAAAGAAGAGGAGGAAATTCTCAAGAAGTTTACATATATTAGTGGGACAGATATGCAAATAATCTTGCCTGTTTTAGTGTTGGGTAAATATTTTGTGAATTATGACACAAGTCAGACTGTATTAGCTACCGAAAAAGTTGGGTTCACAGAGGCATGGTGAGTTTGTTATAAAGCATTTTTGGCATTTGGGATCAAAACCATTGAAGACTCACCAGCTTTGGGAAAGTTCGGGGTTCTTGAAAGAACAGCAAAGCCCTGGGCTACAGGTAGAACAAAGCCTTAGAATAGAAAAGCCTAATGTTCCAACAAGGTTTATGCACAAGAGAGTAACAGCATTGGGTCTCCTCTCCCATGCAGTCATTCCCAAACTAAACTCAACAGAATCGTTTGGGGCAACAGAAACAATTTTAAGGCATTTTGTGCATAGCTGCTCATTTAAAGCAAAATGTCTCTGGCCATTTCTCTGGTTCACACTCCTGCTACTTTGCCTGTGGCTCCTGCCTTCCTTTTTTCCCAAGCCCATGTTTGTTTTCCTCAAATCTTTCTTTCCTAGGTGGCTTCTAGCCCACCTTCCACCCCAAACAGTCCCCTTAAAAGAAATTTCTAAATGTTTTTCTTTGCTGCACAAGACAAATCAGTTTTTTCTAGTCTTGATTCCCAACTTCAAAAGCTTCAGGCCCACTCGTGTACGTCCAACTCCCATCCAGACACTGCCAGCAACCTGTTCATAGTGGAGGGAGCCTTGGGCGCCTCCAATTAGGTTTTACCCTCATTAGAAGGCAGTTGTGTGTTTACATGGATGGAGCTGAAACATACCCTTAGCGAAGTATCTCAAGAATGGAAGAAAAAGTATCCAATGTACTAGCCCTACTATGAAACCAATGTATGGCTTTCTTATGAGAGCTATAACCCAATTATAGCCCAAGAAGAAGGGGAGAGAGGAGAGGGAGGGGAGGGGAGGGGGGAAGATGGGTGGAGGGAGAGTTATTGATAGGACCACACCTACGGTGCATCTTACAAAGGTACATGTGAAACTTATTAAATGTAGAATATAAATGACTTAACACAATAACTAAGAAAATGCCATGAAGGCTATGTTAACCAGTTTGATGAAAATATTTCAAATGGTATATAAAACCAGCACATTGTACTCCATGAATGCATTAATGTACCCAGCTATGATTTAATTTTTTTAAAAAAAAGCAGAAGGCAGTTGTGGTGTTGGCCAGCAATTTTATTTTCTGTCTTTTCCCCTCATTCTAAGGACCTTTACATGCATTCACATACATAGTGCTTTTTTAGGAAGTGCTATTTGATGTTTTTTAGATGATGATGTTTTTTTCCTTCTGTGTCTTGCAGCTCAGAGCCTTCACAGACAACAGAGACGATATGGCATTGGGACATGTCATCGTATTGCTTCAGCAAGAGTGGCCACGGGGAGAGAATCTTTTCTTGAAAGCCGTCAATAAGATTTGTCAACAAGGAAATTTCCAATATGAGAATTTTTTTAATTACGTTACAAGTATCCTTTTTCTTGTTTAAGCATAACAAATTTGGATTTTTTTAGAATGAGTGCATGATACCAAAAGGTAGAAACTGTTCTGGGGAGAAAGAATGGTTTTTTTCTACTTTCATGAGAAAAAAGAGCAGGAATGGGGATTAAAAATGCGGCTGTGGCAGTTGGTCTTATGAAAGTCACAAAAGGCTTCAAAGACATAATTCAAGGAATCAGGAATATCACAACCCTGTCCCACATCTGACTTCTTCAAGAAGGTACCCAGGATGCCTGCAGTAACAGCCTACAGGTTCCTAACAGCCACAGAGTGGCTAATTTAAACCAAGTAGTTTTTCAGCCTTTATCCATCCTAAGAGTGCCTCCTATGGCCTCCTTGGGATACTGGCTGCCCCTGGGCTAGGTGTTAGGACCACACCATAGCTGTCATAGCTACTGGTAGATTCCCATCAAAGATGCTGTCCAGCACAGTAGCTCTTTCAAGGTTAGGTAATGCATTATTTCACTATTCATTATATTGGGGAAAAACCCTCTTTGAATGCAAGGTTACATATAGTTTGGGTGTTTTTACTTCATCACTTACCTGAGTACATTATTTTTTGAATTGCAGGGAACATAATAACATATTCTTTTCTTTTTACTTTTTTTGAGACAGAATCTCACCCTCCATAAAGTGTTGTGGCATCACAGCTCACAGCAACCTCCAGCTCTTGGGCTTAGGCAGTTCTCTTGCCTCAGCCTCCTGAGTAGCTACAGGCACCCCCCTGCAATGTCCGGTTATTTTTTGTTGCAGTTTGGCCAGGGCTGGGTTTGAACCCACCACCCTTCGTATATGGGGCTGGCGCCCTACTTAGCCACAAGCGCCAACCAACATCATACCATTTTCCAAGTGCTCAGAGTAACAGGTTATCTTTTAAGACTCTGATGAAAGTTACATAACTTTTCACTAGAAAAATGCATATCTGAATGTTATTAACACTTTACATAAAATGTAGGGGACTCAGAAGCTTCCTTCCCAGAGGCATTAAAAATCCTTGCACCTACCTATAAAAAAGTAATCACTCTACTTTTATGAATTTCATACTCTATAATTCAAAACAATCTTCCTCTCTCCCATTACCTTTCATTTCTTATCAAGAAAATAAAAAAGTTTTGCTCTGATGCAAAATCTGCTTAATTATCATCTATATGAAAAACATTATGGGCAAACATTAGGCCAAGGGTTGTCATCTGCATGAAGCAGTTTGGATGGTAGGACAGACCTGGCTTTGAATACTGACTCTACAGTTGCTAGTGAGATGGCAACAGGCAGTTAGTTACTCAGCTACTGGGAGCCTCTTTCCCTGGCTTTCACACGTGGTTAACCTGAATCTGGCCTGCAGATATTGATATGCTGGAGGAATTTGCCTACTTAAGAACTCAGGAAGGTGGGAAAATTCATCTGGAGTTACTACCCAACCAAGGAATGCTAATCAAGTAAGCACACTATCCTTTCTTCTGCCATGCTGAGTGCTCTTTTTTTGTGTAAATTTCTATGTACCTTTCAAAAATTTAACAGGAATCCAAACCTGGTCTCTGTGTTTGAGTTTTTGATTCTGGGTAGTTTTTGAAAGACTTGCATTTCCTTGACTAAATTTCTGGGAGAAAAAATTGGGGTGGTTCTTTCACTTTTCAAACTTTTTCATTAGACCAAAGTCTCATTATTATCTTTTCTTTTCCAAAATGTATAGGTTGATTCTGATTAGACAGGAAGTGCTTCTATTAAGAACAGCCATGCTTAATGAAAGTTGTATTGGACTAGGAAAATTTATTAGGAAACAGTATGGATTTTATTTATAAATGGTATTTGAAGCCCTCCTATGCAATCTTCATTGCTTATGTGGCATGAAGGTATAGTTGAGTCTAGTGTCTCCACGAATACACCTGCCCCAAGAACGATGGTGGGACTGTCTGGTCTCAGGCATCCTGCCCTGCACCCACACGATCTTATTGAAATTCTAGGTTGGCCCAGATGAAAATGCCAAGTTAGTGTGACCATTTATGATTTTTAAATAGCTCATAAATCTTGCTTCTATCCTTTAATCCTCATTGTAATCTGGGTAATATATCCTCTCTGCTGTAAATGCCACGTGTAGTTTTATTTTCATACCTCTCCTTTGCTGCCTGCATATTCAGTGTGTCTGTAAGTCAGTGTTAGAGTTACTGCAAGAGACTGAACGCTGAGAAGAAAGGATTGCTAAGGCCGGAAACATTCCCATCCTGCTCTCCCTTGGTAGAGTCTTAGAAATGTTAAGGTAGGGAAGGAAGAGATGGTCTTTCTGGATTTCTGTAACCTCAGTAATTTGCAGCATACCAAACTTTTCTGTTTATGTCCTAGCAAGAATAGTGTCTTGTGGAAGTCATTCACAAGAATGGAAAGACTAAGTGTTTTCTTCCCCTGGGTCTTGTAAATGTCATTAAATATTATATACATTTAAAATGAAAGAACAAATGCTGTGTTTTTAAATACACGAGACCTTTATACATCAGGTTGCTTAGGCAAGAGGGACTGGCAAGTCCCACCTCCAACTTTCCTAAAATGGTGAATCAAACTGTGGGAAAAATAACTGCATGGTTCCAAACCCTCTTAAGGGTTTTGGAGAATAACAATTTTTGCAGCCTAGGTAACCCCTTTTGTGTTGTTTTCTGGGTTTTAAGACTGGGTATACAAATACACTTTTGGTAAAACTTTTTAGTTAATTCCCTGCTAATTATCATAATATAGAGACAGCCTCAGTAGAACCAAAGTCCCTGAACATAGGATTAACCCTATAGGTGGTTATCACTTTACTTAGATAATGCCTAGCTGCTTGTGGAAGTGTGAGAGAGTGGATTGTCAGAAAATCAACAGTTGAACCTCAGACTTCATTGGACCGAGCCTTTCTTTTACCAGTTTGTGCTGAGCTGACAGTGACACAAGACATGCAGACAATCCCTAGGAACAAGGAATTGTCTCCTTCAAAGCAAACGTGCATTGGATGCCCAGATGATATCACTGGAAGGGGCTGTTTGGCTAAAGGATACCATCATGCATTTGTAGACCTTTGAAGGATAATCCTAGGCTCTCCCACCTTGATCAACGTAACGCTTAATTTCTTCTACCTTCCCGTAGAAGACAAGCCTTTTAGGAAACCTGCATTTTCATCAGTTTTGCCGCAGGAGTAGGGATTATTACCTAGGGATCTGAACTTGTAGCAATTTGCCCCGTCTTCACTGTGTGAGTCTCAAAGTTAATTACTGATGCTGAAACTACAACAGTAGAAGCAAACTGCGTAAGACAGAGAGCTCTGACTAACTGAGGTATGATTAGAATCTTGAATAAAACTATCTATATTCCTTTTCCCTTTGGGTTCCATACAAATTCTCTGAAGCCATTGCAGACCTTTTGGGTGGTCCCTCCAGATGAGTGGCAGAGATGTTGTGAGCAGTGTACACTCCTCCCCTAGGTAAGGTTGTGAGTCTGCCATAGTTGTGGCATCTCGGACACAAGCAGGTACAGTACAACCACCGAGGGCACCTGGTGCCTCACCCAAAGGAGGGATAAGCTCTTAATCTGTCATATAAACCTTTTGTTTTTAAGTATTATAAAATAGAGAAATGTGTCTATACTGATATTTGCACTACTTTGGTTGCATTAGACTGGATTAAAATGGAAAACGATGTCCTATGTATGCTCAGAATAGGGTGGATGATAACATCCTGAGGTGATCACTAGCTATATACTAAATCCTTGCTACAGAATTCTGCAAAGCCATGGGTCCCAGACTCTTTTTTAACCACATCTGTTCCTTTTCTCAATACCTTTTTGAAATTCAAACTCACCCTTTATCAAAAACATTGCCAGCCCTTCGAGTCCTCTTGAAAGAGCCCCTTCAGTTTGGGGTTTCAATCCTGTGACAGATGGTTAACCCGCATCACCAGGTTGATTGCTGGGATTGGCCTGGGCACAAGAAGAGTGGAAAGAGGCTGGTTTTGAAAATGTGTCTCTCTCAAACATTGCCCCTGCTCCCACTGGCGTTCAGCTCCATTGTCCTCTTCCTCACTGGTTGCTTTTTACACCAAATCTCAAGTGGGCTAAGGCTGGGGCCAGGGACCAAGACGCCTCTGGACGTGCACGGGCAGCAGGTGCAGTGAGGGCTTGCTAGCTTCTCCCAGTCTCCTAAAAATACAGCCGCAGCCAGGGGCTTGTTGAGGTTAACCAGTTTCTGTATAGTCTGCTTCCAGTCTTGTGTATTTTCTCTGGAGTGTTGTTTTTGCAGTGCAGGGTGAGTCGGTGTGGGTGTTTGAATGCTGCTGTTTGCTGTTTTTAAAGGCCTTCTAGCCCTCCCATGGGGTTGCTGCAGCAGGAATTCTTACCTGTGCTTCAGCCCAGCATACAGACTGCTGACAGGTACCAAGTGGAATAAACACCTGCTCATAGTGTGCTGTTTGTCCACATGTTTACTGCCCATGGTTTTCTGCTCTTTGTTCCTCAGTGCTCTTTTTTTCATGCTTTCTTTATTTTTTTAATTTGTTCTGCATTACTTGGCAAACCATCTGGTTGTAATATTGTAACATTCCTTATTTTTTTTCCATAAGTTGCCAGTGTGTTTGTGTTCGATTTAAAAATCATTATGGATCTGGAAACAAAAAGAAATTTATATAAAACTGTACTAGATTAAGTGCACATCAGATTAGGTGCTAAAGTATGATTCTTCTTTTGATAAAATGTAAGGCTTCTGGTCATAAATATTTAAGGGTGCTGAAGCTTAAGAATATTTTTATTTCTGGATTTTCATACGAGTAACCAGGGCTGCTTGGGTCTAAATAGCATCAGCATGGTTTTTTTCTGCCAATGATGCTGTTTTTTCAGACCTCATTCTGAACTGAAGATATTTGATAGGCTAGAATGCCACATTTGTTAGATGGTTTTTCCTGTTCTTAAACCAATAGCTAGCCAATTCTCTTCTTCATTTAAACTACCAGAAGGATAGGGGCTCTAATATAAATATAATTGAGTACTACTGCTCTTTATATATGGAAATAGTACAATTAGACCATGATCAGCAAGATGTAACATTACTTAGGTTTTTAGCAGTATTAAGGGGAAGGCCTGCTTTTTAGCTGCCTAAATAGGGGGCAGTCACTTCTGCTTGGTCAGAGGATAGAATCCAATTTGAGGTTGCAGCCAGGGACCCAGAAGAACAGTGTCTCAGGGCAGCATAAAATTGTGAGTCTGTGTCCAGGGGGACTCGGCCTTGATCTTATTGACATTGTGTCTGGATCCCTGAGCTACCCACCCAGACTTGACTGGGAATGTTCACAAAGAACTGCATTTTCTCCATAGTCCTGCTGTCTTCCTACGTGCTTCCCTGGGCATCGTGGAGTGTTCTGTAATAGCTTTACTTATGTAACAGAGCCGGATTGTTTTTCTTCTGCTGCAACATTTTGACTCCTGTTGCCCTTATTTGATATGATAACTGAGTTTTTCAAAATATATTTTTAGAATGCTTTCAGCAATTTTAATTTGCCCAATACACAGAAATTAAATTTAAGTCCTATTACTTTGTCTGAGGGAAGTTAGGCAATAGAGGGGGGATGTAGGTGACTTCTATTTGTTGAAATCTTACCAAATTGCTGAACTAGTTAAAACCCCTTTCCTCTTAACTGAGTGAGTGGTTTTTGATAGATTTTTCTTCTTCTTTCTTCACTTTGTCTTTAGTTTTCTGAGATTTCCTTTTGTAAAGCACAACCTTTGACACACAGAGACCTTTGGCTTGTGCACCCTGATGCTTCCACACATACAGGTCTCCTCTGAGCATCTGGACAGATGTGGTCTGTGTAGGCCACTGACTCTCTGTTCTTCAGGGATTCTGCCTCTCCCCTGAACAGTGCCTGATTCTTATCTCAGGACCCCACTCTTCCCTGTGTTTTCTCAAACAGACGAGAGTCTGGGTGAGCACAGCACTTCAGAGGAGCTGCCCTGGTCTGGTGTCTTAGGAGAGAGACAAGCTCATAGCCCCAGCGGCTGTGCAGAACCCAAGCCTTTCTGAGCCTTTTAGGGAACTCACTTGGGTGATTGGCTCTTTCTGGTTTCCCACCTCCCTGCTGCTGCCTCCAGAGAGTCATTGCCTGGCTGGACACAAGTGCTTTGTGGCCAGCGTGGACTGGACCCACGAGGCCCTGAGTAACTGAATTGATCCCAGTCAGCAGTAGGGATGCATACCATCAGAGCTCCAGGAATTCAGAAGCAAAGCAGAGGCATTTACACTACACTTAGATGCGTGAAATAACCTTTTATAGCGTGGGAAAAAATGTCTTTCTAGTCGTAAGTTGTTCTGAGAAGGAAGGAGCTAGAATGTTTGGTTGTGGCTTTAAAAATAAATTTGTTATACTTATTTATATTTAGATATGAGGCAGGCTTTATTCCTACCAAGTAGCAGTGATCAGCGATGCTGGTGCTAACCCCTGGTCTTCATCTGTTTCCCTTGTCGCTGACCTCAGGCACCACACGGTCACTCGAGGCATCACCAAAGGCGTGAAGGAAGACTTCCGCCTGGCCATGGAGCGCCAGGTCTCACGCTGCGGGGAGAATCTGATGGTGGTCCTGCACAGGTTCTGCATCAATGAGAAGATCTTGCTCCTTCAGACTCTGACCTGACTGAAGACCTCTCTGCCAGACACAACTGGTAGCTGGAAAATTTGGGGAGAAAACAGACTGATAAGCACTGCTGTTACAACACTCAAGAAGAAAACCATCTGAGTTCTAACTCCTGGGTTGCTTAAAAGTAGTTTCTAAGAGTCAGAGACACTATTCTATTTTTAAGAGTCATTTTTTTGTAATTTTTGTAAAACAAAAGAGTCAACCTGTTTTGTAAATAAAAATCATCCTAAAATTTGCAGTTTTAAAAAAGTTATTTTAATTCTTATGAGTCTATGAACAGGGGTGTGCTTTTCTTCTACTTTTGACAAACATACAACAAAGGGGAAAAATTTAACACAATTGAGTAATGAATTTTATTAATCTAGAATAGATGCTAAGACATATGTCTTCCATGATCTCAAGATTATTTTCCAGTTAGGCTTTGGTAAATATTACATATTGACATAACATTAAATCCTTTTTTTTTTTTTCTGTCTCAGGAGTCCTTCTGACCACAGGGATTGCTTTTTTTTTTTGAGACAGAGCCTCCTTCTGTCGCCCTGGGTGGAGTGTCGTGGCATCACAGCTCATAGCAACCTCAAACTCTTAGGTTTAAGAGATTCTCTTGCCTTAGCCTCCCCTTCTGTAGTACAGGCACCAGCCACAACTCCTGGCAGCTATTTTTTTTTTTTCTTTTAGAGAGAGGGTCTTGCTCTTGCTCAGGCTGGACTAGAACTCCTAAGCTCTAGGCCACCGCTTTGCCCTCCCAAAATGCTGGGATTATGGGCATAAAGCTCAGATAAGTTTTAATACCAAAAGTCTTTTTTTTTTTTTTTTAAGACAGAGCCTCAAGCTGTCCCCCTGGGTAGAGTGCTGTGGCATCACAGCTCACAACAACCTCCAACTCCTGGGCTCAAGCAAGTCTCCTGCCTCCGCCTCCGAAGTAGCTAGGACCACAGGCACCCGCCACAACGCCCGGCTATTTTTTGGTTGCAGCCGTCATTGTTGTTGGTGGGTCCACGCTGGGGATTCGAACCTACCACCTTAGGTGTAGGTGGCTGGCGCCTTAGCCGGTTGAGCTATAGGCGCCGCGCCAATACCAAAAGTCTTTATGTAAGTGAACTTGATCCTGTCCTCACCCCTAGTGTTAGTCCTCTGAAGGAGTAGTGATGGGGACCTGCAGCAAAGCCCAGGACAGGAAGTGGACCATACAGGCCCCTTCTCTGTCAGGCCACAGAAGGCCCCTGCTTACTCCTAAGGCCACCTACTGGTTTTTATGAATGGGTGAACTAGATGGCCTGGACAAGGCCTCACACCCTGACTCTGCCTCAGCTTGCTATGGAAATGTAACTTCTGTATGCCTTAAGCTCCTTGTAGAGAAATTGAAGATAATGGCTCTTCCCTCACAGGTATTGAAGGATTAAAGGGTCATTCTGTAAGAAATGCTTACAGGCACATGGTTAGTGCTGGAGGCTTGTCTTTGTTTTTTTGTTGTTTTTCTCTATTCATGAAATAATATATCAGACAAACACCAAAAACCATTTATTTCTAGGGGTTGTGTAAGAATGAAAGAAACAAAAAGTTGTTCAGTGACTTTGCATAAAAAGTCTTGGAAATTTTTTCTAAATAAGATCCTTTTTGTGGATATATTAAAATCAATAAAGTGGCTTGAATAATAGACATTTGATCTCAAAAATATCTTTCAATTAGTTCATTTTGAAGTGTCTGTCAATGCAATATGAGTTTATTACAAATTCATACATACATTTATACATATAAGTATGTATGTGGGTATATATATATATTTACTTTCCCCCCCAAAACAGGGTTTCTCCGTGGCCCACCCTGTGGGACAGTAGCGTCATCACAGCTCACCGTTAACCTTGAACTCTTAGACTCAAGCTTTTCTCCCACGGCAGCCTCCCCAGCAGCTGGGGCGATGGGCGCGCGTCACCATGCCCAACTAGTTTTTAAGCTCTTTTGTAGACACAATCCCAGCAGAAACCTGGGAAGAGGCTCACCAAGGGGAAAGCTGAGGAGAAAGAAGCTGAAGGCCACACAAACACACAGGCAGGCACTCCTGAGGATGCGGGGTCCTGCCCCTATGGGGACGTGCCTTGGGGGACAGAGCGGCCGCGGCCAGTTCCGCCTCCCACAAACTTTAAGGGAGACCCAGACACCCTCAAGGTGGGGACGGGTCCCGGGTGCCTCCCGGCGGCTCCTGAAGACATTTTCTGGGCCTTGTCCGCCTCCTCCACGACCAGGATCTCAGGACCATCCCCTCAAACTGCTGGACTCGACTGTACACAGACGACCACACGCGGCTTAACCTGCAGTGGGCGGTGCCGCGGACGCGCATGTGCAGTTCCGAGCCCGAGGACTCCGGAAGTCAGGCTTTGGGCTGGGACCCGGGCCAGGCAGGTGTCTGGGAGGGCGAAGGAGACCGTGACCCGCCCAGCGCCAGACCCTAATCATCCTGTTTGGATCCTTATTTGGGTTGTATGGTGTGGATGAGAATAGGGTCACATGTGGTGAGGATGAAACGTGGGGGCATGGGGCTGTTAGGACACGAGAATACCTGAGTCCCCAAGTGCATGAGACAGCTGGAATTTCACCACCCCTGTGTCCACTGCCTCTTTGTGGCCTGGGCCTACCAGGCCTATTCCCGGGTCTCAATGCGTAGGGCTCCTCCTTGTCCCCACCGCTTTTCGGGAAAGGTGGGAACATAGACCATAGGCAAATCCAAGAGAAAGGAAAAGTGACAGGTGGGCCACAAGAGGAACTCGGATCCCAGAAGGGCAGGTGGCTGGAGTGTGTTTCAGAAACCTGACCGGGATATTCCCCAACTGACAGTGACCTCTTCCAAGGGACCCTGAAGACCCCAAGAAAGGAAAGAAAAAGCCAAGCCTGCATGGGAACCCCAGATGCCCAGTACTGCAGGGCGAGTTCCGGGAATCTTGCCAGAGGCAAAACAGCTTTCGGAGACTGGCAAACAGCCCCACCTTCAACAACTGGGACCACTCCCACTGCCTCCACCCACACCTGTCCAATCCCTTGTCCCTTCTGAGTGGCAGCCAAAGGATTCTGCACTGATACCCAGATTACCCCCCCCCCCCAGCTCTATCCCCCCTCCAGGAACACAGGAAGTAAGGATACCCCCTCAGCCACAAAAGGAGAAGGGTAGATGAAATCAAATACATTTACTAGAAAGTAAAGGGCAGCCACAGTGGATTACATGAAAACTGAAATACTCTCTATATTACAATACTAGTGCTTCAGGCTATTAATTTATTTCAGGTTGTTTTAATAGCCTTGAAGAATTTCCATGCTTTCCCAAATGTTAATTTTTTTCTTTCTCATAATAGGTGTATATACCTAATACCCTAAATACTATAAAGAAAGAAAGAAATCATATAGCAGGAAGAAAATACTTGTGGGAAAACTGAATATGAATGCTTGATATTCAATTATAATCCTTTTATGCAATTTCTCACCTCCCATTTTTTAAACTGCAGAAGGGAATTTGCTGCCCCATTTTAACAAATGAGTTTTCAAAATAACGCCAAAAGTTACCCAAATCATGTGTAGTGTATAGCACAAGTGATTTCATATTTAACTCAGCTATGTAACTAGCAATCAGAGCATCATCAGCTCCTCAGAAGCCTTCTACATGCCCGGTAAAATCAGTATCTTAATTCCAAAGGTATCCACCATTCTGACTACTGATACCATGTACCATAGATTTTTAACTGTTTCTGAATTTCAAATAAGTGTCCTTCTTCTACTCAACTTTTGTTTTATGAGATACATTAAAGTTGGACACATAGTAAACTTTTCCTTTTGATGACCAGATGGTAAATATTTTAGGCTTTGAGGCTCTAAATTTCGATCTTTGTTGCAACTACTTAACCTCATCATTATAGAGCGAAAGCAGCCATAGGCAAAATGTGAATGAATGAGCACTGCCCTCTGCCAATAAAACTTTATTTATAAGAAGAGGCCATTGACAAGCCTTGCTGTGATTAATTCTATCTACTATTGATGGGCATTTGGATATTTTCAGTCGGGGGCTGTTATGAATTATCAAAATATATGTATTTTGGTGCACATCTGTGTGCATGGACATAGGATATGTCTTTTTAATAGAAACTGCCAAGGAGTTTTCCAAAGTTGTGCCACTTTATAATCTCACCAATAAGGCATGAGAGTTTCAGTTGTGCATTCTGGTGGGTGGGTTGTAGTCTCATCTGTGATTTTAATTTAAATATCTCAGATAACAAGGGAATCTGATAGGTTTCTCGGCCATTTTGTGAAATTCTTGTTTGAGGCTTTTGCTCATTTTCTCTTCTCGCATTCTTGTTGCTTATTGAAAGTACACTTTTCACATGTATACATTATATATACCTTTCCCCTATCTATTACTGATATTTTATTCTATTTCTTAAATATATTTGACTGTATTTATTTTCTTAATGACATTTTTTTAGAAACAGGAATCAAGTTTAATGTCCCAAAAAGAAGAAAGACAACTTTTTTCTTCTTTTTGGTAAGAGATTCCCACCCCACCCCACCCCGCTCTGTTTTTACTGCTCCTATGCCAAAGTCAAGGAGATGCTCTCCTATGCTTTCTCTTAGAAAAATTATGGTTTGTTTTTTTTTGAGACAGAGCCTCAAGCTGTCCCCCTGGGTAGAGAGCTGTGGCATCACAGCTCACAGCAACTTCCAACTCCTGGGCTCAAGCAAGTCTCCTGCCTCTGCCTCCCAAGTAGCTGGGACCACAGGCACCCACCACAATGCCTAGCTATTTTTTTTGGTTGCAGCCATCATTGTTCTTTGGTGGGCCCGGGCTGGATTCGAACCCGCCACCTTAGGTGTATGTGGCTGGTGCCTTAGCCACTTCAGCCACAGGCGCCGAGCCAGAAAAATTATGGTTTTACTTTTCTCCTTTAAATCCACACTTCATTTAAGAATTGATTTTTGTATATGGAAACAGGAAGGGGCCATGATTCTTTTATTTACCCCATCGGGCCTCTTATATCCAACATAGTTTATTTAAAAATCTATCTTTTCCCACTTTAAACTGCAGTATCTTCTTTATCATAAATCATCTGACCATGTATGTGTGGGTTCCTGTATGTGTTCCTGGATTTTTGTTCTATTGGTCTGTATTTTTCATCTTCACGTCAATTCTACGCTGACTTAATTACTGTACCAATGTAGTAAGTCTTAATCTTTATTCATTTTTAAAATTGTCTTATCTGTTT